GGTCACAGTTTGATTCCCAGTCAGGGCACATGCCAGGGTTGTGGGCTCGATCCCCAGTGTGGGGTGGGCAGGAGGCAGCCGATCAATGATTCTCTCTCATCATTGATGTTTCTATCTCTCTCTTCCTTTCCCTTCCTCTCTGAAATCAATTAAAATATATTTAAAATAATTTAAAAAAATAAAATAAAAAAGAAATATAGTTTTTATTGGTTTCAGAGAGGAAGGGAAAGGAAGAGAGAGATAGAAACATCAATGATGAGAGAGAATCATTGATCGGCTGCCTCCTGCCCACCCCACACTGGGGATGGAGCCCACAACCCGGGCATGTGCCCTGACCGGGAATCAAACTGTGACCTCCTGGTTCGCAGGCCGACGCTCAACCGCTAAGCCACACTGGTAAGGCTATATTTCCTTTTTTTAAATATATTTCCTTTTTTTAAAAAGAAAGAAATCAGACACAAAAGGCTACGCTATCGGAGGGTCTCATTTCCATGAAATGGCCAGAATAGGTAGATCCACAGACGCAGAGAGCAGATTAGTGGTCGCCAAGGGCTGGGGGTGCTGGGGGGGCGGGAGGTAGGGTTGCTTGCTGTGTGGGTCTCCTTTTTGGGGTGGTGGTTCCAATTGTGAATGCAGTAAATGTCATTAAATGGGAAGTCATTTTTTCTTTTGGCAAGAGAGAATAACCAAACTTCACACATACGTCCGTATGGGAACCCCACATACATGAGAGAGTCAGGGACCCACAGGCAGGAGAAGTTCCATTAAATGGTAAATCTTTCGTTTTGTGCATTTCACAATAAAGCAAATGAATGGAGGCATTATCGCAGGCGTGCGGGCCGGGGGCGGGTGACTGGAGCGTTGGTGTGCCTTGGCATCCGTGGGCATTGTTCCAGGACACCCTGCAGATACCCAAGTCCAGAAGCTCAAGTCCTTTATAGAAAAGGGTATAGTGATGTGTATTGGGACTGTGTGCTGAGATCATGTCAGAAGGTATTAAAGACCCAAAGGTGCCCTAGCTGGTTTGGCTCAGTGGATAGAGCGTCAGCCTGTGGACTGAAAGGTCCTGGGTTCGATTCCAGTCAAGGGCACATGCCTGGGTTTCGGGCTCTATCCCCAGTAGGGGGCATGCAGGAGGCGGCTGGTCAATGATTCTCATCATTGATGTTTCCATCTCTCTCTCCCTCTCCCTTCCTCTCTGAAATCAATAATTTTTTTAAAAAAGAAATAAGCTAGCTACAGAGTCCATGTCCAGGTTTGCTTGTTTGTTTGTTTTTTATATTTTTTTTTTATTGATTTTAGAGAGGAAAGGAGAGGGCGAGATAGAAACATCAATGATGAGAGGGAATCATCGATCCAATGCCTCCTGCAGGCCCCCCACTGGGGATGGAGCCCACAACCCAGGCATGTGTCCTGACCAGGAATCGAACCTGGGACCCTTCAGTTCGCAGGCCGACGCTCTATCCACTGAGCCAAGCCAGCTAGGGAAAGGTTTGTTTGGTTTTTTTAAGTATTTTTTTTATAGATTTCAGAGAGGAAAAGAGAAAGAGAAACATCAATAATGAGAGAAAATCATTGACTGGCTGCCTCCTACATGCCCCCCCCCACTGGGGATTGAGCCAGCAACCCAAGCATGTGCCCTGACCAGGAATCAAACCGTGACCTCCTGGTTAATAGGTCGACGCTCAACCACTGAGCCAAGCCGGCTGGGCTCGTGTCCAGGTTTTACGCACTTGTAGAACAATGAGAAGTGTCTTTTTGCTGATGGGTGACTTTCCAGTTTGTTAACATCTCTGCCAGTTTAGTTTCTGGGCAGATTTCAAGCATTGTTTCCCCGACCCTTATTTTTTGGTTAATCCTCACCCAAGGATATTTTTTCCATTGACTTTTAGAGAGAATAAAAGGGAGGGAGGGAGGGGGAGAGAGAGAGAGAGACAGAGAGAGAGAAACATTGGTGTGAGAGGCACACATAGACTAGTTACCTCTCCACGCGCCCTGACCGGGCCCGGGATTGAACCTGCAGCCCAGATACATGCCCTTGGCAGGGAATCGAACCCGAGACCCTTTCCTGTGTGGGCGGACGGTCTAACCATTGAGCAACACCAGCCAGGGCCATTTGTTGATTCTTGTCTGTGCCCTGACCCAGAATGAAACCCACAACCTTAGTGTATCTGGAGGACACTCTGAACAGCTGAGCGACCCGGCCAGACCCCCCCTTTGGCGTGAAGGGAGTCATTTGGCAGCAGTGGAATCTGAGTGTCCGTTTCGCTTTGCATGTGCTGTGCCCCTTCAGTGTCTGATGCATAGCTGGACCTTGAACCAATACATGTGTAAAAAAAAAAAAAAAAAAAAGAGCTTTGGATCTGTAATGTCTTTATACAAAGTTTTTATTTTACTAATAAAACATTATCCTAAAACAAAAATACTGTTTAAAAAAAAAGAAAAGAAAAAAAGAAGTGCAGGGCACTTTAACGGGCCTCTCGGGGGAGGGGTTGCAAGGAGGAACTACTGACAGCGGCGTCTGGAGCGAGCCCAGCGCAGAAGCCGCTGGAGGCCTGGGGGTAAATGAGGTGAGGGGCCGGGGGCGGGGGTGGGGGGTTGGGTGCTGGGCTCCGAGGGTGGGTCTGCTCGCACCTCGGTCCTGACATTCGGGCGGCCCACACCCTCAGCATGAAAAAAACAGGGAGCAACAGAGAAACAGATTAAAAAAAAAAAAGGACAAAAAAACGTTCAAGACAGGCAGAGACAAACACTCAAAGTCTGGGCCCAGGGCCTGGGGTGTGCCCTGCAGCTGGGGGGCGGGGTGCATATTCCCGAGTCGGGGACGGTCTCCGGACAGGATGTGAGAGAGGAACTGGGGTCTCCAGTCACGGGAGCAGCTGGGCTGCGCGGGCAGGGATCCCGGTGCGGTGAGCGGAGCGGGGCGCACGCCGCGGGCGGACCGCCTGGGGCCCGGGCTCCTGGGTCCGAGGGCGGAGAGTCCTGGGTCCGAGGGCGGAGAGTCCTGGGTCCGAGGGCGGAGAGTCCTGGGTCCGAGGGCGGAGAGTCCTGGGTCCGAGGGAGGAGAGTCCTGGGTTCGAGGGCGGAGAGTCCTGGGTCCGAGGGAGGAGAGTCCTGGGTCCGAGGGCGGAGCGGCTGGGGGCCCGGGCTCCCGGGTCCGAGGGCGGAGAGTCCCGGGTCCGAGGGCGGAGAGTCCCGGGTCCGAGGGCGGAGCGGCGGGGCCGGGCGGGGCTCCCGGGCCGGGGCGGGCGGGGCGGGGCCGGGGCGGGGAACGGGGGGCAGCCCTCCCCGCCTCTGTCATTAATTAACCGACAGGCAGCCAATTAAGGGGTGAAAGTTCGCGGAGGCGTCGGGCGTTCGTGTCTCGGTCCGCGACGGGGCCCTGAACCCGCTCCCGCAGCGCCCGCGCGGGGGCCGTGGCGGCCGAGCCCCGCGGAGTCGGGGGCGGGCGGGGCGGGGCGGGGGTCCCCGGGAGTCACGCGCCCCCTCCCGCCCCAGATCGCCCTCCCAGGATGCGGGTGCCCCGGCCTCAGCCCTGGGGGCTCTGCCTCCTGCTCGTCCTCCTGCCTCGGACCCTGCGCGCAGGTGAGCGGCGCTCGGCGGGCGGGGCGGCGGGAAGGGCGCGCGGGAGCCGAGTCCCCCCGGAGCGCGCGTTCCACCTTGTTGGCCGCCTTCTCCTCCGCGGCCCGGGGGTCGGGGCAGCACCCGAGCCCCGATCCAGGTCCCTGTGCCGCTCGGGGTGTGCGCGCCCGTCTCCGGTCTGTCCCCGCGGGCCGGGTTGCCTCGGCTGTCGGGGCGCCGGCCGCGCTCCCGTCGGGGGCCGCCCGCCCCACCGGCGCCCTCCCCTGTCTCCGCAGACGGCCACCGCTCCCTGCTGTACCGCCTGACCGCCGTGTCCTCCCCGGCCCCGGGCTCCCCCGCCTTCTGGGCCACGGGCTGGCTGGGGCCGCAGCAGTACCTGCGCTACAGTGACCTGCGGGGCCAGGCCGAGCCCTTCGGGGCCTGGATCTGGGAGAGCCAGCTGCCCTGGTACTGGGAGAAGGAGACGGCCGACCTCAGGGTCAAGCAGGCGCTCTTCCTCGAGGCCTTCACAGTCTTGGAGGAAGGAGGTGAGGGGCAGGGGTCGGACCCCTGGGTCCAAGGGAGGAGGGGCTGGGGGCCTGGACTCCTGGGTCAGAGGGAGGAGGGAGCTGGGGGCCTGGACCCCTGGGTCTGAGGGAGGAGGGGCTGGGGGTTTGGACTCCTGGGTCTGAAGGAGGAGGGGCTGGGGGCCTGGACTCCTGGGTCTGAGGGAGGAGGGGCTGGGGGCCTGGACCCCTGGGTCTGAAGGAGGAGGGGCTGGGGGCCTGAACTCTTGGGTCTGAGGGAGGAGGGAGCTGGGGGCCTGGACCCCTGGGTCAGAGGGAGGAGGGGCTGCGGGTTTAGACTCCTGGGTCTGAGGGAGGAGGGGCTGGGGGCCTGGACCCCTGGGTCTGAGGGAGGAGGGGCTGGGGGCCTGAACTCTTGGGTCTGAGGGAGGAGGGGCTGGGGGCCTGGACCCCTGGGTCTGAGGGAGGAGGGGCTGGGGGCCTGAACTCTTGGGTCTGAGGGAGGAGGGGCTGGAGGTTTAGACTCCTGGGTCAGAGGGAGGAGGGAGCTGGGGGCCTGGACTCCTGGGTCAGAGGGAGGAGGGGCTGGGGGTTTGGACTCCTGGGTCTGAGGGAGGAGGGGCTGGGGGTTTGGACTCCTGGGTCTGAGGGAGGAGGGGCTGGGGGGCTTGGACCCCTGGGTCTGAGGGAGGAGGGGCTGGGGGTTCTGAGTCCTGGATCTGCAGGAGGGGGGCCCTGCTGCTGGGCCCTGCTCACCTGTGGGGGGTACCCCAGGCTCCTATATCCTGCAGGGCCTGCTGGGCTGTGAGATGGGCCCTGACAACTCCACGTCAGCCGTGGCCACGTTCGCCCTGAATGGCGAGGAGTTCATGAAGTTCGATCCCAAGGCGGGCAACTGGGATGGAGACTGGCCCGAGGCGCGGGCCATCAGTCAGAAGTGGAAGCAGCACGAGGACGCCGTGTGGCAGGAGGGGCACTTCCTGCTGACCTCCTGCCCCCAGCGGCTGCTGGGCCACCTGGAGACCGGCCGCAGCAACCTGGAGTGGAAGGGTGAGCGGCCCCCGGAGGAATCTGATCCAGGGATCTGCGTCCCCGCGCCCCACCTTAGGCCCCGTCCTCTTCCCACAGCCTCTTCCCTGGCCTCCCAGCCTCCAGGGCCCCGCCCACCCCGGCCCATCCCCCACGGGTCCCGAGGGTCTTTCTGTCCCCAGAGGTGACCCGGCCCCTCTCCTGCACACAGCCCTCCTGTGGCTCCCAGAGCCCTGGGGACAGAGCTCGAGGCCCTCAGCCTGTATTGGGGCCCCCGGGGGTGTGGCCCCGTCCCTCTCCTGAGCCTCACATCTCTCCATCTGCACCCCTCTGCCAGGTGGAGTCCCCCAGAGTTCCCTGAGCTCACACCAGCCCTCCCCTCTCTTCTCCTCTGTCACTCTGTCCGGTTCCACTGGTGTCACGCCCAGGGACGTTGTTCTTCTGGTCCATGAGGCTCTCATTTGCCTTCTGGGGGCTCCCATGATGCCTCGTGTGACCTCCACTGCAGCACATGTCACCCAAGCTGTAAAGAGGGACAGGCCAGGGGGATTCTCAAGGGCTGGAATCGGAGCTCTTTGGTCCCTAGGGTCCCCCCACCCTACCATCCCAGCTTCCCTCTCGGCCTTCCATACGGACCACCCTCCACCTGGCAGTCAGAGGGACGATTTATCTATCAATTTATTTATTTAAAACAGATTATTTTTGATTTCAGAGAGGAAGGGAGAGGGACAGAGATAGAAACATCCATGACCAGAGAGAATCATGGATCAGCTGCCTCCTGCACACCCCCCACTGGGGATCGAGCCCACAACCCAGGCATATGCCCTTGCCCGGGAATCGAACCGTGACCTCCTGGTTCATAGGTTGACGCCCAACCATTGAGCCACACCGGCCGGGCTCGATTAATTTCTATATGTGCCCAAGTACCTGCCCTCCAGATCAAGATCTAGGACATTCCAGGACCCCAGGAGACTTTCTTGTGTCCCCTCCAATTCAATTCTCCCCAAGGAGAACAACTCACCTGACTTCTGTGGCCACAGGGTTGCCCGCCTTTGAGCTTCATACAACTATGCGCGTGTCTTGCTTCTTTCGCTCCAGCTTGTGTCGGGAGCCTGTTGTTGGGTGTGTCCGTCGTTCTTTTTCATTGCTGAGTACTATGCCACTGCATGCGCGTAACAGTTTCTCAACGCGTGGCTTCTTTCCAGACGGGGGCTGTCACGAGTAAAGCTTCTATGAGCATTTTTGTCCATGTCCGCGGATGAATCTGTATTTTCATTTATTTTGACTTCATACCCCTGAGTGGAATGGTTAAGTCATAGTCCATGTATAGGATTAGCTTCAGTAGGTGGGGCTGTGCTCTTTGCAAAGTGGTTGAACCAGTTTCGTACGCCCACCAGCTGTGTGTGTGAATTTCAGTTGCTCCACAGGTTTGCCAGAACTTGATACTGCCTTTCATTTTAACAATTCTAGTGGGTGTGTAGTAGTATCTTGTGAATTCATTTTTCACTAAGCAGATAAATGATTATTTAAAAAAATATGTTTTTATCAATTTCAGAGAGGAAGGGAGGCGGGAGAGAGAGAGAGAAACATCAGTGATAAGAGAGACTCACTGATCGGCTGCCGCCTGCACGCCCTCTCTAAAATTAAAAATTACAAATAAAATAAATATGTCCTTTCTCAAAATCATGAAGCTATTCTCCCGTCGTCTTCTAAAAGACATTGGTAAATATTTTTCTTATTTGTAAATAGCTTTCATATTTAGCTACATGATTCATCTCGAGTTAATTCTATGTAATGGTGTGAGGACAGGGGTCAAGGCTCATGTGTCCTTCATGGATGTCCAGTTGAACCAGCATCGTTTGCTGACCATCATCCCGTCTTCCCCACTGCACTGCGGTGGGGCCTTTTTCCTAAATTGCTTTTAGACACTTTTCCATTCCACTGATCCGTTGGACTGAAATTGAGTCAATAACGTAGATTTGTGGAAAGTTTTGGTATCTAGTAGTTGAGCTTTCCAGCTCTATTGCTTTTGTTATTCTGTGTCATTTGCATTTCTGTATTACATTTCTGCTTGTCAATTTCTGCCCAAAAGAAGTCCTGTTGGGGTTTTTATAGTAATTAAATTTTATCTGTAGGTCAATGTGGAGAATCGACATCTTAACAACATTGTCTTCTAATCCATGGTTTCAGTATATCCCTTTACTTGTTTTGAAGTCCTTTAACTTCTCTGAGTAATAACTGGCAGTTTTCCAGGTAGAGGTCTTACACCCTTGGATAGATTTATTCCTAAGTACTGACATTTTTTTGATGATTCTGTAAATGGTCATTCTAAAAATTTCATTTTCTAATTGTTTGTAGCTAGTTTATAGAATACCATTGCCTTTTAAAATATTTATTTATTTTAAATAGATTTTTATTGATTTCAGAGAGGAAGGGAGAGGGAGAGATAGAAACATCAATGATGAGAGAGAATCATTGATCCAATGCCTCCTGCAGGCCCCCCACTGGGGTTGGAGCCCACAACCCAGGCATGTGTCCTGACCAGGAATCGAACCTGGGACCCTTCAGTTCGCAGGCCGACACTCTATCCACTGAGCCAAACCAGCTAGGGCTTAAATATGTTTTGTTTTGTTTTTAAATATATATTTTATTGATTTTTTACAGAGAGGAAGGGAGAGGGATAGAGAGTTAGAAACATCGATGAGAGAGAAACATCGATCAGCTGCCTCCTACACACCCTCTACTGGGGATGTGCCCGCAACCAAGGTACATGCCCTTGACCGGAATTGAACCTGGGACCCTTCAGTATGCAGGCCAACGCTCTATCCACTGAGCCAAACCGGTTAGGGCTTAAATATGTTTTTAAACATCAATCAGCTGCCTCCTGCAGGCCCCCTACTGGGGATCAAGCCAGCAACCTGGGCATGGGTCCTGACCTGGAATCAACTGGCAACCTTTTGGTGTATGGGACAATGCTCAACCAATTGAGCCACACGGGCCAGGGTGAAATACTATTGATTTTTATATATTTCCCTGTATCCAGAAAAATTTTTGAATTTACTTATTTCTATTAAATTTGTATAGCTTCTTTTGGATTATGTCATATTGGACCCATTTTATTTTCTTTTGCAATTTTAATACCGTTTATTTCTTTTTCTTATCTTGTTGCACTGGCTGGGATCCCCAGTACAATGTTGAATAGAGTGGTGATAGTGAACATCATGTATTCGCAAATTCACAAGTAAACTTCACTTGGTCATACTGTATTATCTTTCATATAAATGACTTGATTCTTCTACCCTGGCCGGTGGTGCTCAATGGTTAGAGCATCGGACTGTGCCCCAAAGGGTCTCAGGTGCAATTCCTGGTCAGGGGCACGCACCTAGGTTTCAGGATGGATCCTTGGGTTGCAGGTTGGATCCCTGGCCCCCAGCTGGGGTGCATGCTGGAGGCAACCAATTGATATGTCTCTCTCACATTGGTTTCTCTTTCTCTCTCTTCCTCCCTTTCACTCTCTCTAAAAATCAATGGAAAAAATATCCTCGGGTGAGAATTACCAATAAATAAGAAAATACTTTTTTTAAAAATATATTTTATTGATTTTTTTACAGAGAGGAAGGGAGAGAGATAGTTAGAAACATCGGGGGGATGTGCCCGCAACCCAGGTACATGCCCTTGACCGGAATCGAACTTGGGACCTTTCAGTCCGCAGGCCAACACTCTATCCACTGAGCCAAACCGGTTTCGGCTAAATAAGTAAATAAATTTTTTAAATGACTTGATTCTATCTGTTAATGTGTTTTTTTAATGGATTTGAGTCTATTTGCATGAGAGATATTGGCCTTAAATTCCATTGCTTGTTATGTCCTTGTGAGGTTTTGTTATCACGGTTGCCCTGGCTACCATGCTAGGAATAGCTTCCTCTTTTCTCAGTTTCCTGGAAGAATTTGTGTAAGAACAGGATTATTTCTTTCTTAGTTGTTTTGAAGAATTCACCAATGATGTCATCTGGGCCTGGCATTTTGTTTGTTGAAAAGTTTGAATTTATGGATTCAATTTTTTAAATACTTAGTACTACTCAAATTTTATTATGTCAGTTTTGGAAAGTTGTATGTCTTAGGGATTTTTCCAGGACATTCAAATGTGCTGGAATGAAATATTTCATAATTCCCTCTTACTATCTTTTTTTCCTTCCTTCTTTTCTTTTTTCTTTCTTTCTTTCTTTTTTTTTTTTTGTTGTTAGTCCTCACTGGAGGATTTTTCCATTGATTTTAGAGAGAGTGGAAGGGCGTGGGGAGGGAAGGGGTGAGAAGAAAGAGAGAGAAACATTGATGTGAGAGAGCCCACATCAATCACTTGCCTCCCACATGCACCCCAGACGGGGCGGGGAACCTGAAACCCAGGTACGTGCCCTTGACCTGAATCGAACCCGCGACCCTTGGGTTCTCGGGCTGACGCTCTAACCACTGAACACACCGGTCAGGGCGCCCTCTTACTATCTTTGTAATGAGTGTAGGTCTGTCTTATTCTCCCTCAGCATTCCACTTTCAGAGTCTGTTGCTCTTTCATTTATTTGTACACAAATATTTGTCTCTTCCCTTAGAGCAGTGGTTCTCAACCTTCCTAATGCCGCGACCCTTTCATACAGTTCCTCATGTGGTGGTGACCCCCAACCATAAAATTATTTTCGTTGCTACTTCATCACTGTAGTTTTGCTACTGTTATGAATCGTCATGTAAATATCTGATGTGCAGGATGTATTTTCATTGTGACAAATTGAACATAATGAAAGCGTAGTGATTCATCACAAAAACAATATGTCATTATATCTGTGATTTCCGATGGTCTTAGGCGACCCCTGTGAAAGGGTCATTCGACCCCCAAAGGGGTCGCGACCCACAGGTTGAGAACCGCTGCCTTAGAGCATAAGCTCCATGAAGGCAGGGACTTTGTCTCCTGTTCAGAGCGCCTGGCGCGGTGGATGCCCAGCACAGGTGCGCTCAGGGAGGCATGGATGAGGGCCGGGTACCCTGATGGCGGGCAGCTGGGTCCCTGTCCCCCTGGGCGGGTCCCTCCCTTGTACCATCACATTCTCCAGGCGAAGCGCAGTGCAGGGCCCGCGGTGGGACCTGCTGAAAGGACTGGAGGCCCGTCCGGGTCCCTGTCCAGCCCGCCCGGCGCTGGCCCTGGGACCCGGGTCCGGGGGCTCAGGCCTGCGCGCTGTCTGTCTGCAGAGCCGCCGTCCATGCGCCTGAAGGCCCGGCCCGGCGGCCCCGGCCTCTCGGTGCTCACCTGCAGCGCCTTCTCCTTCTACCCCCCGGAGCTGCAGCTGCGCTTCCTGCGGAACGGGCTGGCCGTGGGCGCCGGGGACAGCAACTTCGGCCCCAACGGCGACGGCTCCTTCCACGCCTGGTCCACGCTGGCCGTCCGGAGCGGCGACGAGCACCACTACCGCTGCGTCGTGCAGCACGCGGGGCTGCCGCAGCCCCTCGTCGTGGGCCTGGGTGAGGTCCCGCGGGGTATGGCCTTTTCCTTGGCGTTTCCGTAGCAAACCCCTCCGAGGCTGATCGCCCCCACCCGCGGCTGCCGGTCCTGCCCGCCTCGTGCCCCACCACTGCCCCTCCTCCCAGAGCTGCCCGCCCTCTGGCCGCGGGCTCTACCCTCTCCGCCCCCACCCCGGCTGCTGCTGCCTGCCTCCTGTTCACCACGATGGGCAGTCCTCCCGGAGTCTGCCCGCCTTCTGTCCTGCTGCTGCTGCCAGTCCTCACCAAGACCCACCTTTCCCTGCCCTGAGAGACCTACTGCTCTGTGCCCCCCTTTCCCCCCACCTCCCCAGTTCTAACACCAGCCCTGCGGCTGCAGGGCCCTCGCCCCTGTGACGGAGACCCCGCTTGCCATGGCTGGTTCTCACCTGGAGGCGTCCTGCCCAGGCCCAGAACTTGCACTAGCTGGCCTCTCCGCTGCCCACACCCGCTCCCAGCCCCTGCCCTGGCTCCCATGGGGCAGAGGGTCCACTGAACACTGACAGCGTTTCTCTGGCCGCAGATTCGTCAGCCAAGTCCATGGTGCCAGTGGTTGGAATCGTCATCGGCTTCTTACTGCTCATGGCAGTGGCTGCAGGAGGAGCTGTGCTGTGGTGGAGGATGAAGAGGGGCCTACCAGGTGGGGGGCAGGGAGAGAGGAGACTCCGAGAGAGAGGGACCCCAAAAAGTAGGAGCAGAGATCTAGACAGAGAGAGGTGGGGACGGAGACCTGGAGGCGGGAAACAGACTCAGAGGGGGATAGAGTAGCTCAGACTCACACACACACACACACTCAGCTCAGAGGGGCATAGAGCAGCTCAGACACACACACACACACACACACACACACTCACACACACTCAGAGGGGGATAGAGCAGCTCAGACACACACACACACACACACTCAGAGGGGGATAGAGCAGCTCAGACACACACACACACACACACACACTCAGAGGGGGATAGAGTAGCTCAGACTCACACACACACACACACACACAGTCAGAGGGGGATAGAGCAGCTCAGACTCACACACACACACACACACACACACACACACTCAGAGGGGCATAGAGCAGCTCAGACTCACACACACACACACACTCAGAGGGGCATAGAGCAGCTCAGACTCACACACACACACACACACACACACACTCAGCTCAGAGGGGCATAGAGCAGCTCAGACACACACACACACACACACACTCAGAGGGGGATAGAGCAGCTCAGACTCACACACACACACACACACACACTCACACACACTCAGAGGGGGATAGAGCAGCTCAGACACACACACACACACACACACTCAGAGGGGGATAGAGCAGCTCAGACACACACACACACACACACACACTCAGAGGGGGATAGAGCAGCTCAGACTCACACACACACACACACACACACAGTCAGAGGGGGATAGAGTAGCTCAGACTCACACACACACACACACACACACAGTCAGAGGGGGATAGAGTAGCTCAGACTCACACACACACACACACACACACACACACACACTCAGAGGGGCATAGAGCAGCTCAGACTCACACACACACACACACTCAGAGGGGCATAGAGCAGCTCAGACTCACACACACACACACACACACACACTCAGCTCAGAGGGGGATAGAGCAGCTCAGACTCACACACACACACACACACACACACACACTCAGCTCAGAGGGGGATAGAGTAGCTCAGACTCACACACACACACACACACACACACACACACACTCAGAGGGGCATAGAGCAGCTCAGACTCACACACACACACACTCAGAGGGGCATAGAGCAGCTCAGACTCACACACACACACACACACACACACTCAGCTCAGAGGGGGATAGAGCAGCTCAGACTCACACACACACACACACACACACACACACTCAGAGGGGCATAGAGCAGCTCAGACTCACACACACACACACACACACACTCAGCTCAGAGGGGGATAGAGTAGCTCAGACTCACACACACACACACACACACACACACACACACTCAGAGGGGCATAGAGCAGCTCAGACTCACACACACACACACACTCAGAGGGGCATAGAGCAGCTCAGACTCACACACACACACACACACACACACTCAGCTCAGAGGGGGATAGAGCAGCTCAGACTCACACACACACACACACACACACACACACACACACTCAGAGGGGCATAGAGCAGCTCAGACTCACACACACACACACACACACACTCAGCTCAGAGGGGGATAGAGTAGCTCAGACTCACACACACACACACACACACACACACACACACACACACACGGGAGGGGGAGACCCAGAGGGTCCCGGAGGCTCTGATGGCCTCCGCCTTTCTCTTTCCTCAGCCCCTTGGATCCTTCTTCGTGGGGACGACCTTGGTGCCCTCCTGCCCACTGGGCCAAGCAAGGATGCTGACTCTTAGGCTGTGACAGCATCCTCAGCAGCTGCCTGACCACCCCCCGTCCTGGCTGTGACCAGCTAATGCAGCCAGGGCTTTCCATGCTGTGAGACCTCCCGGAATCCTGTTATTTCTGAGCCTCCAGAAGGAGTCCTGGGCCTGGTGTCCGCCCTCTGGATTTTTCGTCCTGTGATCAGCCTCAGTGTCCCCTCCTAATGTATATGGCTCTTTTCCACATTCACATATAACATGAGTTTGGGCCTGAATCATTGTGTCCTCATCATTTCAACTTTTTCAGGGCGGGGTGGGGGGAGGCGAGGGCATGGGTGGGGGGATACGTGGTGTAAGCCCTGGGCTTCCAATCTCCCCTGAGGCCAACATGTTGCCATGGTGGAATCTGCCAGTTATACACCAAGTCATATAATATGTTTTCATTCATAAATTTTATAAATATTTACTGAATGCCTACACTGTGCCAGGCATTTTAAAAACTTTTAAAATATATGTGTTTTCATTGGTTTCAGAGAGAGGGAAGGAGAAGAAAAGAGAGAGAGAAACATCAATGATGAGAGAGAATCATCCATTGGCTGCCTCTGCACACCCCCTACTGGGCATCAAGCCCGCACCTGGGCATGTGCCCTGACCAGGAATGGAACTGTGATCTCCTGGTTCATGGGTCGATGCTCAACCACTGAGCACACCCCCTGAGCCATTTTGAGAACTTAAAAAAAAAGTATTTTAGAGTGGAAAGAAAACAGTTTTTATTTTAAAAAAATCTTTGTTGAAATTATTATATATGTTCCCTTTTTTTCCTCATTGACCCCTTTTAGCCCGCCCCCGCCCCCGCCCCCTGTCCTGGCCTTCACCACCCTGTTGTCTGTGTCCATGGGTTATGCATATATGCATACAAGTTCGATGGTCCATCTCTTCCCACCCTCCCCCGCCTTCCCTCTGAGATTCGACAGTCTCTTCCATGCTTCTATGTCTCTGGATCTATTTTGCTCATCCGTTTATTTTGTTCATGAGATTCCACACATGAATGAGATCATGTGGTACTACTCTTTCTCTGACTGGCTTATTTCCCTTAGCACAATACTCTCCAGGTCCCCGCACGCTGTCTCAAAGGGTAAGAGATCCTTCTTTTTCACTGCTGCGTAGTATTCCATGGTGTAGATGTACCACAGCTTTTTTATTAAAATATTGTTGATTTGAGAAAGAGAGGGAAACACCGATTTGTTTTCCCAGTTATTTATGCATTCATTGGTTGCTTCTTGCATGTGCCCTGACCGGGGATGGGACAACATTAACCAACTGAGCTTTCCGGCCAGAACATTTGGAGGAATTCTTGGCTGGAGTCTGACCTGACTCCTTTCGTGGAGCAGAAGAGTTGTTCCCTCGCCCTAGCTCCGTGGTCGGCAAACCGCGGCTTGCGAGCCACATGCGGCTCTTTGGCCCCCTGAGTGTGGCTCTTCCACAAAATACCACGTGCGGGCCCGCACGTACAATGTGATTGAAACTTCGTGGCCCATGTGCAGAAGTCGGTATTTTGTGGAAGAGCCACACTCGGGGCCAAAGAGCCGCGGATTGCTGAGCCGCAGTTTGCCGACCACTGCCCTAGCTGGTTTGGCTCAGTGAATAGAGCTGTCGGCCTGTAGACTGAAGGGTCCCGGGTTCGATTCCATTCCGGTCAAGGGCACATGCCCAGGTTGCTGGCTTGGTCCCCAGTAGGATGGGCAGGAGGCAGCCGACCAATGATTCTCTCATCATCGATGTTTCTATCGCTCGCTCTCCCTCTCCCTTCCTCTCTGAAATCAATAAAAATCTTTAAAAAAAAATAAAATTGTGCTAATCCTAGATTTCAGCAGCAGCAACAACAATAAAGAGTCGTCCCCTCTATCAGGGGAGAGGCTGGCTCCTCTGCCCCTGGGTTCCCTCCTTTCTTAAACAAAGGGAGATAAAAATAAACCTCCCATGAGGCTTTAGAGCGACAACAACTGGAGTTGTAGGCTGGGCGCCCCGAGGCCTGCCGGGAGTTGTAGTTCGCCGCCGCCGCGTCACCCGGCGTCCCCCACCCACCCCGCGGGCCTGGGAAGGGGCGAGGCCGGACTCGGGAGCGAGCTCTCCTTTGTGGACGTGGCGAGGGCGCCCGCGGCCCGCCGGACACTCTGCCGCCCCGCCCCGCGGGGTCCCCTCCCGGCATTGGTCGGGGGGCGGGGCCTGCCTGGAGAGCAGCCAAATTGGGCATCTTTTTGGAGAACCCGGGAGCGCAGCTTGGAGAACACCGAGAGGCTGGATCGTCCGGTAAACGGAGGCGAGGGCGGGTGGCCGGCCCGGGGGGGCGGGTGGGGACCGCTCAGGTCCGCTCGGGTCGTGGGTTAGAGTCCAGGCTGCAAACGACGCCTGGGAACTTGCATGATTTCTCTCTTTTGAGCCACGACCCTGCCCCACACTTTGCGTGGGAAGCGAGCCACGTCTCCCGGTTCAATCCCCCCCCCCCCCCCACCACCACCTCTTGCAGCTCCGGGCCACCCCCCCGCCCCCGGACTCCCATCAAAGCTGGTTTTACTTCTGAGAACCCAACCCTCCCCTCCCGCCCCAATCCTTCTTGAGCCCAAAACTTTGCGGCCAGCTGCCATCCATCACTGTGCTTTTCTAGGTCTCCCCTCCCCCATCCTCCGGTCTGGTCCCTGTCTTTCCCCCGCGACCCCTGATTCCTAGCCTCCGCCGCTCCTCAGGGCCTGATGATGTGGCGACCGTCGCTTCTGCTGCTGCTCTTGCTGCTCAGGCCCGGGGCCCAGGGGAAGCCCTCCCCCGAAGGCGGCCCTCACGGCCAGGGAAGGGTGCACCACCAGGCTCCCCTGAGCGAGGCGGCTCACGATGACGCCCACGGCAACTTCCAGTACGACCACGAGGCTTTCCTGGGACGAGAGGTGGCCAAGGAATTCGACCAACTCAGCCCAGAAGAAAGCCAAGCCCGTCTGGGGTAGGAGAGGGAGGGGGGCTGGAAGACTGAGGGTTGTCATTTAGAACAGGGAGGTCAGGGGAGGTAGTGTTGGGCTGTGTGGGTATGTGTGGGAATTGCACTCCAGGCCGAGAGACAGTAAGTGCAAAGGCCCGGAGCCTGATGTGTCTGAGGAAGAGCGAGGTCCGTGTGGATGGAACCGAATGAGCAAAGGGAGAGGCTGGTGGCAGCCGAGAGGGAACAAAGGGGTGTGCGGGGCCTTTGCAGCCATAGTGGAGATTTACGCTTTTTCTCTGAATAAGATGAGAACCATGGGGAGGGCTTTAAAGGGAGAATGTGATTGACTTAGATTTTAATGGAATCCCTTAGGTTCCTTTTGGGGGAATAGACTAGACCAGTGGTTCTCAACCTTCCTAATGCCGCGACCCTTTAATACAGTTCCTCATGTTGTGGTGACCCCCAACCATAAAATTGTTTTCATTGCTACTTCATCACTGTAATTTTGCTACTGTTATGAATCGTCATGTAAATATCTGATATGCAGGATGTATTTTCATTGTGACAAATTGAACATAATGAAAGCATAGTGATTAATCACAAAAACAATATGTAATTATGTATGTGTTTTCCGATGGTCTTAGGCGACCCCTGTGAAAGGGTCGTTCGACCCCCAAATGGGTCGCGACTCACAGGTTGAGAACCGCTGGACTAGACCCAGCGAGGAAGCGACTGCAGAGCGGAGGGCGCCCAGACCAGGGTGGAGAGAGCTGTTGCCGCCAGGCCTCTGGCTGAGAGATTGTGAAAAGCAGTGAGAAGCTAACACACTCAGCATAGCATTTACTGCAATGCCAGGCACTGTTCTAAGGGCTTTACAAGGGTTAACTAATGTTTTCCCCACAAAGGGGGAAGCTGAGGCACAGAGAGGTTTAGCGACCTGCCCACAGTCACACAGCCAGTAAGAGGAGGCTGCAGAATTTGAACCTGGAGTATCTGGCTGTGGAGCCCACGCTCTTAACAACAGTTCAAAGCTCAGGGTAGAGCATGTGTGAGAGTCTTGGGGACAAAGCCCGTCCCCCACGGACCCCAGCAGAGACTGCCTGGCCCAGGAAGGGGCAGCAGGACCGACTCAAATTCTACCCAGGCGACCGGGTCGCAGAGGCTCAGGGACAGGCTCCTGGAGCGCTCGGTTAGCGGTTGGGCTCGGACCCAAACTGGGGAGACCTGAGACACGGGGTGTGAGGTGGGACCTACCGGGGTTTGACATGCGCCGGTGGGGAGGGGGACAGTGCACAGCATCCGCCGGAGCACGAGGAGGGGACGGGGGAAGCCAGCCCGCGAGGTTGCGGGTGATGGACGGACCTAGGTCAATGCCTGATCACGGGTGGAAAAGGGTAGAGGACGTATCAAGGGGCAGGACGTGCGGGAGAGGGGCCTGAAATTGACCGGCACGTCCAGGGAGGAGGCGGAGCGGGAGGCGGGTTCGAAGGGAGGGTCCTAAAACTGGCAGCGCCAGGGAGAGGGGCGGGACATGGGCGGGGCCTGAGGCAGCGAGGGGGTGTGGCTTTGTCAGCTGCTCAGAGGACGGCTTTTGCTTTTAATGTTTCGCTGTTGAGACTATTGCTAGAGGCAGCCTTGGGGCAGGAGTCCTGCGGGCCGGGGTGCAGCGTGACGCCCTTCCCGCTGTCCCCACTCCAACTAGGACCAGCGGGACGAGGGACGAGGCAGGTCGAGGGGCGGGGCCGGAGCGGAGGGCGTGGCCCTGGATTGTCTTAGGTTCTTCCCCCATCCGGGCGTGTCTTGGGCCGCAGCGCCAATCATAGGCCCGCTAGGTGTCGGAATGGGCGGATCTCTTGGGGGGCGGAGCCCTGAGGTGGGCGTGGCCTCAGGATTGACATGTGCCTCCCCCAGTTGGCGGGCGACTCTGGACCTTATTCTTAGTAGGAGGTGTGTCCCCAGGGGGCGTGGCTATCGCGTGAGGGGCGGAGCCTGGACGGCGGGATGCCCCCCGGGTGGGCGGGTCCCGAGATTGACGTGTTCCCCGCCCCGGTCCCCAGGCGCATCGTGGACCGCATGGACCGCGCGGGGGACGGGGACGGCTGGGTGTCGCTGGCCGAGCTCCGCGCGTGGATCGCACACACGCAGCAACGGCACATACGGGACTCGGTGAGCGCGGCCTGGCACACGTACGACACGGACGGCGACGGGCGTGTGGGTTGGGAGGAGCTGCGCAATGCCACCTATGGCTACTACGCGCCTGGTATGCGGGAGACCCCGACCTCTGCTGCTCACCTACACCGTGACCCCGACCTTTTTGACCCCTACTAGTGAGAACCTTTAGCCCATTACCAGAATCTCTGACCTTTGACCCCTGATGCTTGACCAGGGTCTACTCCTAAGACCCCATTACCCTGAAACCACTGATCCCGGATTTCTGGCTTCTCATTCTGGCATCCACGGCCTCTATAACTCTGGGACCTGGGGATTCAGATCCTTGACCTGGGACATCGACCTTCCATGCCCCTGACCTCTGACCTCTCATCCTGAGAATCCCAAAGCCATTTACCCTCCCGGATGACCAATGGGCTCCCTCCTCCCTGTCCCCATGCCCAGCCCTGGGCCCCTCTAGCTCTCGTTCTCTCCCTCCGGTACCCTCGCCCCAGCCTGTCCCTCATATCTCTCCAGAGGGGTCTTTCCACACCACCACACTGACCTTCCCGGCGCACAGCCCCCCATGACTCCCTGGGCCCCCAGGAGACAGTCCCAGCTCCTCAGCCCCACCTGGCCTACCCTCTAGCTTTGTTTTTCTGAATTTTCTGCCCCAGCCAAATGGATCTGCCACTTCCCCGAACTCACCACATTCTTCAAACCTCCACACTCCGCACATTCTGTTCCCTCTGAAGGTGCCCTTCCCCTCCTCTCTGCCCAGCAGCCGGAGGCAGTATAACCGACTGCATCGGAGCATGACTGGGGGTCCCCGAGAGCCAGTGTGAACTCAAAGCCCATCATTCCTGACTGTGAGACCTTGGAGGAGTTATGTCCTCTCTGGGCGTCAGTTTCTCCGTCACAAAGTGAGAATAAGCTGCAGAACTCTGCTCCTCTTTGTGAGGGTTCAGTGCCCCATATTGTAGCTAAAGAGCTTAGCATCTGGCCAGCTCTTACTGCAAGGTAGCAGATATATGCACATAATGAATATGTGTTGTGTATGATGAATGCAGTGGAGGTCTGCCTGCCCGCCCCCCCCCCCCCCCCCCCCCCAGCCCCAGCCAGTTAGATCCCTTTGTCTTTCTCTTCAGCGCACTTGGTCCTCCATGAAAGCACATCTCAGCCACCCCTCCTTTCCCAGGTGAGGAATTCCACGATGTGGAGGACGCAGAGACCTACAAGAAGATGCTGGCGCGGGACGAGCGGCGTTTCCGGGTGGCGGACCAGGACGGGGACTCGATGGCCACCCGGGAGGAGCTGACAGCCTTCCTGCACCCGGAGGAGTTCCCTCACATGCGGGACATCGTGGTGGCTGTGAGTGAGGGCCGGCCTGCCAGCGCTTCCCTTGGGAGTTCCGGTCCCCTGGTCCCCCTGGCACCTTCCCCAGGAAACCCAGGCTACAAGGGCCGGTCAATGGAGGGTGACATCTCCCATCCCACCCTGACCCCCCAGTGTCACCATTAGTGACAGGATCTGTACCCACTCCTGCCGTGCCTGACTCTGCACACACTACTTCAAAAGTGTAATTGTATGTAGCTCTCAAATAGGTCACATATTGATGTGGTTAAACGCCCAAAAGATGCAAAAAAAGGTGAACAATCTGCTTTTCTCCCATGTCCCTAGCCTGCTCACCTGCAGTCCCTTCCCCACAGATAACCCCTTTCTCATGTCTCCATTTCCATCGCTTCTTTGAGGGTCTATGGCAAAGCTGTTAGGATCCAGGGCCCTGAGGGCAGAGGCCTGGTTTCCAATCCCAGCCCTCCTGTTCCTGGCTGTGTGACCTGGGGCAAGTTTTTTAACCTCTCTGGACCTGAATTTCCTTATCTGTAAAGTGACGGTGCTGATAATGATCCCTATCTAGGGTGCTAATAGGGACTAGATGAGCTCATGCCTGTAGCCCTGTAACACTGGCCCTGGGGTAAATGCTCCTTAAGTGGTTTTAGACACACGTGTCAATAGTTACAGAGTCAGAATCGCTGGACCCTGGGGATCAGAGAGGAGAGATGGCATTATCCCCTTACACGCCCCAGCCTGCAAGCCCAGTGTCCCTCTTTTAGTGTGACACCTCCTTATTCTCCCGAGTTAAGATTTATTTAACAAGCCCTGACTGCGCATGTCCTGTGTGCCAGGCGCCCTTCTAATGCCTTCACCTGCATTACCTCAATTTATTTTTATTCATTTTTTGTTCATCTTCACCCAAGGATATTTTTTTCCATTGATTTTTAGAGAGAGTGTGGGGCAGAGAAAGAGAGAGAGAGAGAGAGAGAAACATTGATGTGAGATACATGGATCAATTGCCTCCCGCAAGCACCCTGTCTGGAGCCAAGGATCAAACCTGCAACGCAGGTACCTGCCCTTGACCGGGAATTGAACCTGCGACCCTTCTGTGTGCAGGCTGATTCTCTAATCACTGAGCAACACCAGCTAGGGCACATAGCCTCAATTTATTTATTTTTTATTTTTAGATATTTTTTTATTGATTCCAGAGAGGAAGGGAGAGGGAGAGAAAGATAGAAACATCAACAATGAGAGAGAATCATGGATCGGCTGCCTCCTGCACGCCCCACACTGGGATCAAGCCCGCAACCCGGGCATGTGCCCTGACCGGAATTGAACCATGACCTCCAGGTCCATAGGTCGATGCTCGACCACGGAGCCATATGGGCCGTGCAAGCCCACGTTACCTCAACTTAATTGTCCGTGGCAGCCCTATGGGGGTGGCCTGTCATATTTGTTTCACAGATAAGGATATCTAGGCACAAAGAGGTGACTCTCCCAGGATCCCCCAGATGAGAAGTGGCACAGCCTGGATTTGAACCTAGACCCTTGAATCCATGGCCTCAACCAGGGGTCCGCAGACTAGAACCCATGTCCAGTGAACTAGAACCTGTAGCCAAATCCAGCCCACAGAATGCTTTTGCAAGTAACGTTTTATTGTAACACAGCCACGCTCATTTGCTTACACGTGTCCAGCTGCAAAGTTGAGTCAGTTCCACAGAGACTGTACAGCAGGCAAAGCCAAAAACATTTACTGCTAGAGACCCAGTGCATGAAATCCGTGCACTTGGGGGGGGGGGGCCCTCAGCCTGACCTGCGCCCTCGCAGTCCGGGAGCCCTCGGAGGGTGGCCTACTGATGGCTTAGGCCCGGGGAGCAGGCCTAAGCCGTCAGTTGGACTTCCTTAGCGCTGCCGTGGAGGTGGAGGCGGGAGAAGCTCCAACCACCAGGGCTGCACTGCCAGCCATGAGCCCGGCTTCTGGCTGAGCGGTGCTCCCCCTGTGGGAGCGCACTGACCACCAGGGGGCAGCTCCTGCATTGAGCATCGCCCCCGGGTGGTCAGTGTGTGTCATCGTGACCAGCCTTTTCTCCGTTTGGACAATTTGCGTATTAGCCTTTTATTATATAGCAGTGGTCGGCAAACCGCGGCTCGCGAGCCACATGCGGCTCTTTGGCCCCTTGAGTGTGGCTCTTCCACACAATACCACGTGTGGGCAACAACATACAGTGCGATTGAAACTTCGTGGCCGGTGCGCAGACGTCGGTTTTCGGAAAGGAGACGGATGAAATGAGTGTGCAAGACGAGTGTGGATGGGAGAGTCGGAAGGGGTCGACCTCAGCGAAGGTACCGCAATCAGATTGAGCACGTTTTTAGCAAAGGCCAGCTTAGGAGCACCCTAATTAAGTGAATAACAAGGTACCTACCTGTATAGTTTACGTTTAAAAAATTTGGCTCTCAAAAGGAATTTCAAGCGTTGTCCTGTTGATATCTGGCTCTGTTGGCTAATGAGTTTGCCGACCACTGTTATATAGGATCTGGCCCTTTATGGAAAACGTTTGCCAAGCCCTAGTCTAAACTCTGCTGTCCTCACTCACATCCGTGGACGGTGAGCGTAACCTCCCCATGCGCAGGTTTCAGAACATGAGTATGAGCCCAAATTGTACAATAAAAGAGGAACGAAAGGAAAGCCACTTATAATAACTAACAAGAACTTCAGCATGTGTTTAGAGTTATCAGATTGAGCAGATAACACAGGGCACTCAATTACACTTGCATTTGTAACAAAATTAATAAAACTTTTAGTGTAAGTATAGCCCACACAGTATTTGGGATTGGTATACGTATATCTCACATACTATTTGGGACATACGTTTACCAAAAAAAAGATATATCTGAAACCGAAGTAACTCAGCATCCTGCCCTCCAAGCGGATCCCAAATACTGTGCGGGACAGACTTATACTGAACAATGGTTTGTTGTTCCTGGGAAAGTCGAATGTAAGGGAGAATCCTGTGTTTCACCTGTCAACCCTCAAACGTTGGAGTTCGCCTTTGCTCGAAGACTTGCTGGAGTGTCAGGGCGTGAGAGTGAATGCGGAAATGAGGAACGGAAGCTGTTTGCTCAAGAAGTGAAGGGAAAAACGCTGAGAGCAGAGGTTTGGAAAGCGTGTCAAAGAGTACACCAACTGCCCTGGCCGGTGTGGCTCAGCGGGTAGGGCGTCGGCCTGCAGACTGAGGGGTCCCGGGTTCGATCCCGGTCAGGGGCATGTACCTGGGTTGCGGGCGCATCCCCAGTGGGGGGTGTGCGGGAGGCGGCTGATGGATGTTTCTCTCTCATCGATGTTTCTAACTCTCTATCCCTCTCCCTTCCTCTCTGTAAAAAATCAATAAAATATATTTTTTAAAAAAAAGTACACCAAGTGATGGCGAACCTTTTGAGCTCGGCGTGTCAGCGTTTGGAAAAACCCTCACTTACCTCTGGTGCCGTGTCACACAGAGAAACTGTTTGATATTTGCCACCATAGTAAAACGAAGACTTATATTTTTGATATTCATTTTATGTATTTAAATGCCATTTAACAAAGAAAAATCAACCAAAAAAATGCGTCCGTGTGTCGCCTCTGACACTCGTGTCCTAGGTTTGCCATCACTGGCCTAGGCCCTGCCTTTTTAAAAAATTATTTATTTATTTATTTTAAAATATATTTTTATTGATTTCAGAGAGGAAGGGAGAGGGAGAGAGAGATAGAAACATCAATGATGAGAGAGAATCATCGATCGGCTGCCTCCTGCACACCCCCAACTGGGGATCGAGCCTGCAACCTGGGCATGTGCCCTGACCGGGAATCGAACCTGGGACCCTTCAGTCCTCAGTCTGAGGCTCTATCCACTGAGCCAAACCAGCCAAGGCTAGCCTCTGCCTTTTAAAGGGAAAGAGGCCTCTGCCCCTGGAGAGTGAGGGCTGGGGCATGAGAACGTTAGGGATGCAAGGTCGCTCTTGGGTGGACCAACCTGTGCATCAGGACACCTGGGTCCCGGCCCCTCCCCCCCCACTAAGTGCAGGTGGGGCCTGCATTATCGTGGCACCCCAGAAAGCCCCCGAATTTCCCACATGCCCTTGGGGACAGTAATGCCCTGTTGAGACTGCTCTGCTCCAAAGCCTGGCCCCCCAGCCACCCCCAATGAGATCCCCTGAGAGAACCTCACGTCCTGACCCCAGGGGTCCAGCCCTAATGCCTCTTTCTCCCCAGGAAACCCTGGAGGACCTGGACAAGAACAAAGATGGCTACATCCAAGTGGACGAGTATATCGGTGAGTGGGACCTAGTCTCCCTGAGGACGCTTGTCCCCTCCTAGCCCGGCGGGCAGCCCAATGCATTATCTCCCGTAACAGAACAGAGGCAGGGGCGCTGCTTGAGTTCACTCCGCCAGCAAACATTTGCTGAGCGCCTACTCTGTGCCAGTCCCCGCCCCCAGCACATCTTTATCAAATGCCTACTCTGGGCGAGGCCCGGGAAGCATTCATGGGATGCCCTCTGTACGCCAGACCACGGCACCCATTACCAAGCACCCACTGTGTGGGCCAGGACCGGACACACTGCGTGTGCGTGGCTGAGGATGCAGCAGAGACTGTCACACAGTAGGTGCCTTCCTGGGCGGGTCCGGAGTTTCTACAGGAACGGCCCGGGCTGCGTTTGCTTGGGACCTGCCTCCGTCCTTGCTATCCGGGGGCAAAGAAACTAGTTAAGGGGAAAGCTATTGAGTATGGAATTGTTAAGTTTTTCTGTTGTTGTTAATCCTCACCCGACGGTATTTTTCCATTGATTTTTAAAATATATTTTCATGATTTCAGAGAGGAAGGGGGAGGGAGAGAGAGATGGAAACATCAATGATGAGAGAGAACCATGGATTGGCTGCCTCCTGCATGTCCCCCCCCACCCCCCCGCAACCCGCCCCCACTAGGGATTGAGCCCACAACCCGGGGTTAGGTCCCCGAAGGGGGAACACACATGCCCAGGGTGGTGAGGGATCACGAATTTACTTGATCATCCGCCCACCAGGCGGCTGAGCCTGGATGGCTCCAGCCCCCAGTGATGGGAGCCGGGAGCCGGGAGCCGGGAGCCGGGAGCCGGCAGCTTTTAAAGGACTTTTGGCGGCTTTTTCTGGGCGGAGACTTCTCTGTGCAGACCCGGAGGGGAGGTCATGGGATGCGGTCACCACAAGTGAAATGTGGTCTCAGCAAAGGGAATGTCCACAGTGAAATGGCCTGAGAAGCCAGGTCCCGGGGGCGGGGGGGGAGGGGTCAGTTCAATTGCTTGGTCGACCTAACACCGGGCCTGTGCCGTTGGCGGGAGTCGAACCTACGACCCTGCAGTCCACAGGCCAACACTCGAGGCCAGTGGTCAGCAAACTGCGGCTCGCGAGCCACATGCAGCTCTTTGGCCCCTTGAGTGTGGCTCTTCCTAAGCCTTAGGAGCACCCTAATTAAGTTAATAACAAAGTACCTACCTGTACAGTTCAAGTTTAAAAGCTGTGGCTCTCAAAGGAAATGTCCGTCGTCGCCCTGTTGGTGTCTGGCTCTGTTTGCCGACCACTGTCCTAGGCCAACGCTATCCACTGAGCCAAACTCAGTGATTTTTTAAATTAAAAAAAAAAAAATTGTTCTTTTTTAATCTGCCTTCTGCATGCCCCCTATTGGGGATGGAGCCCGCAACCTGGGCGTGTACCTGACTGGGAATCAACTGGAGACCTCCTGGTTCCTGGGTCGGAGCTCTACCACTGAGCCTCACCGGCCAGACTCCATTGGGCTTTTTTAGAGAGAGTGTTTGGGAAGGAGGGAGGGGGAGAGAGAGAGAGAACATCAGTGTCAGGGAGACACATCCATTGGTTGCCTCCTGCACGCGCCCCAGTGGGGCAGGGGCGGGGCCGGGAGGGAGCCCGACCCTTGGTTGCATGGGCCGGCGCTCTAACCACTGAGCGCACTGGCCAGGGCGGAATTGTTCAAAGGTTGAACACATTTTTCCATAGAATGTTTTCATGGAACAAACAGCAGGCAGGCAGGCGGGACATTTTTAAGTAAGCATAATTTAAACAGATTTTTACGATTGATTTTAGAGAGAGAGAAGAAGACTGAAAATTTTTTTTTTTTTTTGCAAGAAAGAACTCGAGTGTCACAGCTGAATCATAACAGGAGCTGCCGCAGCCTGCGGTGACTGTGGTTAACGTCTTGCAAATTCATTTAATCCCCACGGCCACCCCGCGAGACGGGTATTACCCCACCTTACAGATAAGGAAGCGGAGGCACAGAGGGAAAATCCCTCCAGGAGGCCGCCTGCTGTCAGGCCGGACAGGACTTGAGTCCAGGCGAGCAGACCCAGGGTTCTGTCCTGACACCCACACCGTAGAGTCCCTGTGGGGCTCCGGGGGCAGAGACACGGGCAGAACCCCAGGATCCCCCCCAAAAATGCAATTTCGTCCTGTTGAGTGGTGTGGGCAAGGGCATGAAGGCGGCGTACTGCGGGGGCCGCGGGGGTCCTGACCCAGATGGTGGGGTGTCAGGAGAGGTGGGGGTGCCCAGAGCTTAAGGGTACAGGTTCTAGAGCCAGCCTGCCTGGTCGCCTGCCCCCTCCCAGCCATGTGGCCGTACACAAGTCCCTCACCCTCTCTGAGCCTCCGTTTCCTCATCTGTAAGTGGGGGTAATGGAGCACCCCCACATAGGACACGGATAGCCAACACAAATGGATGAAGGGATAGACCAAGGGAGTAGATCTAGGCCAGTGATGGCGAACCTGTGACACGCGTTGTCAGAGGGGACACACGAACTCATTTTTTTGGTTGATTTTTCTTTGTTAAATGGCATTTAAATATACAAAATAAATATCAAACATATAAGTCTTTGTTTTACTCTGGTTGCAAAGATCAAAAAGTGTCTGTATGTGACACGGCACCAGGGTTAAGTGAGGGTTTTTCCAAATGCTGGCACGCCGCGCTCAGAAGGTTCGCCGTCGCTGGTCCTAGGCCATCGGGCATTTGTTGGCCGTGAAAAGGAATGAAGTGCTGGTATTTGAAAATACCGTGCCAAGAGAAAGGCCACAGTATTGTGCGACTCCGTTCAGATGAAGTGTCCAGAACAGGAAAATCCATTGAAAAGGCAAGTAGGTTAGGTGGCTGTCGGGGGCTGGAGGGGGGGGGGGGGTCCTATGGTTGGGGGTCACCACAACATGAGGAACTGTATTAAATGGGAAAGGGGTGTCCTTTTGGGGTGCTGGAGGAGACTGCTCTGGATGGAGGTTGCATGACATTGTGAATGTCAGGAATGGTGAGTTTTATGTTGTGGGAACACACACACAACTCCCACCTACCACTGCCGTTTCCTATAGGAAATGATCACATAGGCCCGGCCGGTGTGGCTCAGTGGGTGAGCATCGACCCATGAACCAGGGGGTGACAGTTCAGTTCCCTGTCAGGGCACATGCCTGGGTCCTGGCTCCATCCCCAGTAGGGGGCGTGCAGGAGGCGGCTGATCAATGAGTCTCATCATTGATGTTCCTCTCTCCCTCCCCCTCTCCCTTCCTCTCTGAAATCAATTAAGGGGGAAAAAAAGGAATGATCACTTAGGACAGTGGTTTTCAACCTGTGGGTCGCGACCCCTTTGGGGGTCGAACGACCCTTTCACAGGAGTCACCTAAGACCATCGGAAAACACATACATAATTACATATTGTTTTTGTGATTGATCACTATGCTTTCATTATGTGCAATTTGTCACAATGAAAAGACATCCTGCAGATCAGATATTTACATGACGATTCATAACAGTAGCAACATGACAGTGATGAAGTAGCAACGAACATAATTTTATGGTTGGGGGCCACCACAGCATGAGGAGCTGTATGAAAGGGTCACGGCATCAGGAAGGTTGAGAACCGCTGACTTGGGACCATTGAAGAGAAAAAGGAAGCAGCCCCGTGCTGGCTGCTCCTGGCCTGGCTCCCGGGGAGGGGACATGGGGCTAATACGGGCTTTGTCGGGGGCGAAAGGCTGTGGGGCTGTGATGTCCGGGGAATCTTCTCTGTGGAAAACTTGCTCCAAGGCGGCCCCGGGCACCAGGAGTTTTGCAAACATTTCCAAATAATTGAAACAAAAGATCTCTTATTACACCCAAAAGTGTAACAATACATTGCTTTTTAAAAATTATTATTTTCGCCAAAACCGGTTTGGCTCAGTGGATAGAGCGTCGGCCTGCGGACTGAAAGGTCCCAGGTTCGATTCCGGTCAAGGGCATGTACCTGGGTTGCGGGCACATCCCCAGTAGGAGATGTGCAGGAGGCAGCTGATCGATGTTTCTAACTCTCTATCTCTCTCCCTTCCTCTCTGTAAAAAAAATCAATAAAATATATTTAAAAAAAAATTATTATTTTCTTAATCCTTTGAGGATATTTTTCCATTGATTTTTTTAGAGAGAGTGGAAGGGACGGAGAATGACACACAGAGAGAAACATCGGTGTGAGAGAGACCCCTCAATTGGTTGCCTTCCCCAGGCGCCCCAACCAGGGCTGGGGATCAATCCTACAACCAAGCTACATGCCCTTGACCAGAATCGAACCCGGGACCCTTCAGTCCGCAGGCCGACGCTCTACCCACTGAGCCAACCCGGCCAGGGCAATGAATTGATATCTTAAAATATCAATTTGGGCATCATCCCAGGCACCAAAGGGCGGCCAGCTCCATTCCGGGTCAGGGCACCTGCCCGGGTTTCGGGCTTGATCCCCGGTGGGGGCATGCAGGAGGCAGACAATGGATGTTTCTTTCCCTCTCTCTCTAAAGATCAATAAACTCTCCTTCAAAATAAATAAAAGAGAGGCTCCAACAACCTCTGGGGAGGTGCTCAGGGGGAGGTGAGCTTTAGAGCAGCCCCTGCTACCCCGCCAGACACTCTCTCACTCGCCCTCCTTCATGTGGAGCACCTACTGTGTGCCCGGCCCCGGCCCACCATGCACACAGCATGTCACCTGGATCTCAGTCTGATCGATTGATCGTTCAGTCGATCAATAAACTAACTGGTCGATCCAGTCCATTTCACGTGTAGCATAATGATCACTTGTAAACGGGTGTTGTTATTAACCCCATTTAAACTGAGGCTAAAGAGAGGGGGGTGGGCTTGGGTCTCCTGGTCCGAGGCCACCTGGGCTCGGCCCTGAGTCCCTGAGTGGCCGCCTCTCGCCCGACCCAGCGGACCTGTACTCGGCGGAGGCCGGGGAGGAGGAGCCGGCCTGGGTGCAGACGGAGCGGGAGCAGTTCCGGGACTTCCGGGACCTGAACCACGACGGGCGGCTGGACGGCAGCGAGGTGGGCCACTGGGTGCTGCCCCCCGCCCAGGACCAGCCGCTGGTGGAGGCCAACCACTTGCTGCACGAGAGTGACACGGACAAGGTGCTGATGGGGCGCGGGCCGCGCTGGGGAGGGTGCGCCTGGTGCACACGTGGCCGGGAGCGGGGCCTGGAGAAAGGGAGAGAGGGACTGAGGGAGGGAGGACCAGAGAGACCTTGAGGAGGGGACAGGGACCCAGAGAGAGGAGATCAGGGGCCCAGAGAGAGGGGGGGCAGGGACCCAGAGAGAGGAGATCAGGGACCCAGAGAGAGCGGGGCAGGGACCCAGAGAGAGAGGGGGGCAGAGACCCAGAGAGAGGGGGACAGAGACCCAGAGAGAGAGGGGGGCAGAGACCCAGAGAGAGGGGGACAGAGACCCAGAGAGAGAGGGGGGCAGAGACCCAGAGAGAGGGGGACAGAGACCCAGAGAGAGAGGGGGCAGAGACCCAGAGAGAGGGGGGCAGAGACCCAGAGAGAGGGGGACAGAGACCCAGAGAGAGAGGGGGCAGAGACCCAGAGAGAGGGGGACAGGGACCCAGAGAGAGGGGGACAGAGACCCAGAGAGAGGGGACAGAGACCCAGAGAGAGAGGGGGGCAGAGACCCAGAGAGAGGGGGACAGGGACCCAGAGAGAGGGGGACAGAGACCCAGAGAGAGGGGGACAGAGACCCAGAGGGAGGGGGGCAGAGACCCAGAGAGAGGGGGACGGGACCCAGAGAGAGGGGGACAGAGACCCAGAGAGAGGGGGACAGGGACCCAGAGAGAGGGGGACAGGGACCCAGAGAGAGAGGGGGACAGGGACCCAGAGAGCAAGGGGGACAGAGACCCAGAGAGCAAGGGGGACAGAGACCCAGAGAGAGAGGGGGGGAGAGACCCAGAGAGAGAGGGGGGCAGAGACCCAGAGACAGGGGGGCAGAGACCCAGAGACAGGGGGACAGGGACTGGAGGGCCATACTTAGGTTCCGAGAGGGTCTCACGTGCCGGGGACTGAGCTGCCCTGCTGACCTCTGACCTCCCTCAGGACGGGCGCCTGAGTAAGGCCGAGATCCTGGGCAACTGGAACATGTTTGTGGGCAGCCAGGCCACCAACTACGGCGAGGACCTGACACGTCACCACGACGAGCTGTGAGCCGCAGTCGCCCACCGCGGCCTCTGGCCGTGGGATGACCAGGGGAGGGGCGCGATGGCCAGGCCCCTCCGTGTCCGGCCCGCGGGATGCGGACACAGCCTGCGGCCTGCCCGGGCTCTCACGGACACACCCGGTCAAGGTCTCTCCTTGAGACACCTCGTCCCCTCTCGTCCCCACCCCAGGGGCCCACAGGCCTGAAGAGAGAGGGCCCCCCACTTCTCACCGGCAGGACCTCCCAGCCAGCCCGCGGCCCCTCCAGTCACCGCACAGTCCACGCCCGAGCCTCACACACAGACAGGAGACCTCCGCCGCCTCAGCCCCGCACCTGCCGGCCCCATGGGCACCGGCCAGGAGCCCCCTCCCTGCAGGGGGGCAATAAAACCCAGCGCTGGGCTCCTCCGTGCGTTTTTCTGAAGGTGGGGGGGCGGGGGAGGAACTGGGGACTGTGACTTGGAGAGGAACATGCGAGGAGTGGGGGGGACGTGCTGAGGGAGGGGACGGAGTGTTTGCAGGGGCGGCTGTGGGTGTTGGCAGGTTCGAGGGCGTCCCTGGGGATGAAAACTGAACCAGCAGCCTGCGCCCAGCGGCGAACAAGCCAGACAGAGCTCTGCCTTCCGCACAGCAAGTGGCGGCAACGCTCTCCATCAGGTGGGGGCCAGGCCTCCCGAGGACATGGCGTGAGGGAGTGAGCCCTGGGCGGGGAGGGCTCAGGCGGAGGCAACAGCAGGTGCAAAGGCCCTGTGGCAGGAGAGGGCCTGGTGGGTGAGGCTCAGCAGGAGGCCCAGGGTGGATGGAATGGCAAGAGGGTGGGCGGTGAGGGCAGCGAGAGAACCAGGGCCAGGTCATGGTGGCCCCAGTCTGATGGGACAAGATAGAGAGCGGCAGGCACCCCGAAAGGCTGGGGCGGGATGTGCTCTCGGGGCACCAGGACCCCCTGCAGAACCCCGAGCAGAGGGTGGGTGTGAACTGACCTGGGTTACAACAGTCACTCTGCTGCCGAATTGAGGCAGAGGCAAAAGGAGGGGGACGTAACCCACCTTCATTCCTCCTGCAGCCCCCGGGGGCCCTGGTTAAAGCCTCTAGAACTGGACGTGCCTTAGCTGGTCCCGGCGATTCTACTCCCGGTAGCTCCCGGGTGGAAACAGAGTCACCGAAATGAGGTTCGGGGCCACTTTAACCACGATGGCCCCACGCTGGAACCGGCCCACGCGCTCGCCACGGAGAGTGTGGCCTCCAGGCCCCGAGGCGCGAGCAAAAGGAGCCGGGCGCAGAGGATCGCTCCCCGCGGATTCCACTTACAGGAAGTCCAAGGACAGGCGAAACTCAGCTGGGGGTCAGAGGTCAGGCTGGTGCTCCCCGGTTTGGAGAGGCCTGGAATGGGGAGCCGAGCTGGAGCTGGGAACTGCTCCCCGGGGCGGGGGGGTCAGCCTGTAAGAATGCACCCAGCTGTCCATGCAGGATGTGTCCACTTTTACGTGTGATGCACTTCAAAGTTTGCTTCCAGAAAATCCCCCTGAGCCCTGGCCAGTGCGGCTCAGTGGGTTGGGCATCACCTTCCTGTGCCCCAAAAGGTAGCTGTTCAGCTCCCAGTCAGGGCACATGCCTGGGTTGCAGGCTCCATCCCCGGTTGGGGATGTGCAGGAGGCAACTGATGAATGTTTCACTCCCACATCGATGTTTCTCTCTCCCTCTCCCTTCCTCTCTCATTAAAAAAAAAAAAAAAAAGCTGCCCAGCTGGTGTGGCTCAGTGGTTTGCTTGTCAACCCATGAACCAAGAGGTCACAGTTTGGTTCCCAAAAGGGCACATGCCCCCGTGGCTGGCTTGGTCCCCAGCAGGGGGCGTGCAGGAGGCAGCCAAATGCTGTTTATCTCTCATCGATGTTTCTCTCTCTCTCCCTTCCTCTCTCTCTAAAAATTAATAACATATTTAAAGAATCATCTTTTAAAAAATGCCCCTGATTTTTAGGTCAGTGCAACGATTTTGTGCGATGCTATAACGGTGGATGGACATCATTTTACATTTGTCAAAACCTGTAGAATGTACCACAACCAAAAGTGAGCCCTCAATACTAGTACTTATGCTCTCTCTCTCTCTTTTAAATATTTTTAATTGATTTCAGAGAGGAAGGGAGAGGGAGAGAGAGATAGAAACATCCTGATGAGAGAGAATCATGGATCAGCTGCCTCCTGCACCCCCCCACTGGGGATCAAGCCCGCAACCCGGGCACGTGCCCTGACTGGGAATCGAACCGTGGCCTCCTGGCTCATAGGTCGACGCCAGCCGGCTGGCTCTCTCTTCCCCTGGCGTGTACCCCACTCCCCTGTTGCTGTGGAGCTTCAGGCTAGGAAGCCTGTGGTTTCCCTCTGGGTGTTGTACCTGCCTCTGGGGGTGAACTAGACACTGGCCCCCAGGCCGAAAGCTGTGCTGATGAGAAAGTCACCCACCGCCTTTCCTTTTTGTGAATTTCAGTTCCCTCCAGTTCCTGCCTGTTTCTGTTCACTTCCTAGTGCCTTTAATTATTATTATTATTATTATTATTATTATTATTATTATTATTATTATTATTTTAGTCTTACCCAGAGTTTATAACTGTTAATCCATGGAAGGGTTGGAATCTGAATAATCCCAGTGTCCCACTCCAAGCTTTTAGTTATAACATACTGCCCCCTAGTGGTTGGAGAAGGCGAGCTGGTTTATACAGAAGCAGGGCAAATTTGTATTTTTTTTTTTTTTTAATATATTTTATTGATTTTCTACAGAGAAGAAGGTAGAGAGATAGAGAGTTAGAAACATCGATCAGCTGCCTCCCGCACATCTCCCACTGGGGATATGCCCGCAACCCAGGCACACGCCCCTGACCGGAATCGAACCTGGGACCCCCCAGTCCGCAGGCCGACGCTCTATCCACTGAGCCAAACCGGTTTTGGCAAATTTGTATTTTTTTAAAAAAATCAAAGTAATATTCACACAAGGTAACAAATTACTTTTACAGAACAACTTACGATGGCAAGCTGCCCAACACCGCATCAAGTTTTTTTAAAATATATTTTATTGATTTTTTACAGAGAAGAAGGGAGAGGGATAGAGGGTTAGAAACATCGATGAGAAACATTGATCAGCTGCCTCCTGCACACCCCCTACTGGGGATGTACCCGCAACCAAGGTACCTGCCCTTGACCGGAACCGAACCTGGGACCCTTCAGTCTGCAGGCCGACGCTCTACCCATTGAACCAAACCAGCCAGGGCTCAAGTTTTTTTTTTTAATCTTTTGCATTTTGGTTATTTTAAATTTTGGGCCATGCAGGACAACAAACTTCCAAATATACAAGATGCTAGACACCAGAAATGAACTCTTCCTTCCACCAAGTGCACAAGTAGCCAATGTTTCTTTTTTATTTACTTTTATTTTTTTTGAATTCTTATTGATTTCAGAGATGAAGGGAGAGGGGGAGAGAGAGAGATAGAAACATCAATGATGAGAGAGAATCATTGATCGGCTGCCGTTCCGGCACGCCCCCTATGGGGCACTGAGCCCGCAGCCCGGGCATGTGCCCTTCACGGGAATCGAACCCAGGACCCTTCAGTCCGCAGGCTGACGCTCTATCCACTGAGCCAAACCAGCCAGGGCAGTAGCCAGTGTTTCTTTCCAGAAAGAATTTATAGATGTAAATAAATATACCAATTTTTTTTCTTCTTTTAATAGAAATTATAGCAGATGATTGACAAGATTTTTACCTCTCTTTTCTCTCTTTTTTTTTTCTTCCTGAAAAAAGCTTCATTGTTTCCATTTGGTCCAATGCATGGGAGAGGGCTTCAGGGTGATTAAAAGAATGACAAGTAGTTTCGGGGAGAGGCTCAGGCAAAAGCCAGACCCCAGGGGATGCAGAGGGGCCCCTCAGAGGCCTCTGGGCTCACAGGCTCCTCGTCCTGCTGGAGGGGGAGCCTTTCCCGGAAACGCCTGCCCAGCGCAGCCTGGGGGCCCGCAGCCTGCGGAGGTGAGGCAGGTGTGGCCCATCTTCTTGATGAGTTTCACCTGCTCACCAGGAAGTGGTTCTGCAGGAAGTCGCAGAGCTGAGGGTCTGCGCCTGCAGGTCCAAAGGGCCTGGTTCTGGTTCCCCGGGACCACGGCGGCTTCCGCGAGGCCCTAGTTTTGCTCACCACCTGGGGAGGGTTCCGGCACGTCCTGGAAGAGCACGCGGCCCCTCGCGGGTTTGCATCTGTAAGAGATGCTATGGTGCCCTCGCTTCTTCTGGGCCAAGAAGCCGACTCTCAGAAGAGGCAGCCCCCACCCTGAGAGTCACATCCTCGCAGTGGAAATGGAGGCCCGGAGAGAGGTAGGTGCGGGAGGCCCGCAGAGGCCGGACGGCCAGCGGTGATGGGTGACCGCAGCCTCCACCCCCGTGGAATGATTCTGACGGATTTGGGGGCTCATAGCTGTTTGGCCATAGGAGTTTATTTAAGGTAAAAAACCGGTGTTGGCTGATCTTGGAGGCTGAGGCTGGCTGAGGTGGTTCCTAGAAGGTGGTGACTGGCAAAGAGATTGGGGGGTGACCGGAGGCTGGAAGAAGGGGCGTCCCTGGGTCTGTTCCTTCTAAATACTTGATGCAAGGGACAAATCTTGTTTTTCTCAATCTTTTTTTTTTAGTCAGAATCCTCCCATTTTAAGTTTACTTACTTTTTATTGAGGTAATGAAGAATATATATATATTTTATTGATTTTTTTACAGAGAGGAAGGGAGAGGGATAGAGAGTTAGAAACATCGATCAGCTGCCTCCTGCACACCCCCTACTGGGAATGTGCCCGCAACCAAGGTACATGCCTTTGACTGGAATCGAACCTGGGACCCTTCAGTCCGCAGGCCGACGCTCTATCCACTGAGCCAAACCGGTTAGGGCTGAAATATATATTTTGAAGACTATTTCAGTTTAGTCCATGAAGAATGTCTTCGCCCTGAGTGGGTGGCTTGGTTGGTTGGAGCGTTGCCCAGTGCACCAAAAGGTTGTGGGTTCGATTCCAGGTCAGGGCACATACCTAGGTCGCAGGTTTGATCCCCAGTCACCCAGGAGGCAACTGATTGATGCTCCTCTCTCTCTCCCCCTCCCTTCCTCTCTCAGAGATCATAGTGACCTAGATTACACTTTGAAGAAGAAAAAAAAAGAATGTCTTCATTTCCTTTGTCTTTTTAACAGCTGAGAACTACTTCCCTAGATAGATTTCTTTTTTTTTTTAAGATAGATTATTTACCCGAAACCGGTTTGGCTCAGTGGACAGAGCGTCGGCCTGCGGACTGAGAGGTCCCAGGTTCGATTCCGGTTAAGGGCATGTACCTGGGTTGCGGGCACATCCCCAGTGGGGAATGTGCAGGAGGCAGCTGATCGATGATTCTC